ATCTTCGGTCACTGAAGAACGCTGGTTTGTGTTCTCCCGTGACCCTTAGGAGAACTATGGGGAAAAGCCCTGACCCTATAGTTCTCCTTTAAGTGAATTTTTAAGATTTAACTCCTAAATTTAGTGTCATTTTAAGCTCAGACAAAGTCACTTGTCTGTAGCTCAAGGACTTCTTTTTAGTGATAAAAGTTAAAGCTTTTATGAAAAATGTTACTGTTACTATATATTGTGACATGCCAGAAATGTATATATGCCAATTTGAAAAGTGACTAAATGATCTTCTTTAGTTTCTCCTCAGGTAATTCCAATATATTACTTTGAAATATAAAATTAGCATTCATTGGATTCAAAGAGACAAACATGTGTAGAGCATGGCTTAGAAAAAGCCAGAAGATAAAATACAATTAGTAGTATAGTATGCATATTTAATAAATACGGATAGAGGAAAGTATTTGAAAATAAAATTACCAAATCTAACTGCCATGAATGTCCCAGTCTTTCTTGAAGTTTATCATATTAGAGTTCTAGTTTTGTATATTAAGTAAATAAATTGGCGAATTGGTTGGTTACCTGAAAGCTCCAAGTTCTATTGTAATGTATGCGTTTTCTCATTTGTTTTCAGAATAATATGTTCCCTTTCCACTAATGTATTCTACTTCTTTTAACCAGAAGAATGATGTAGGTTTCACAATAGTGATTACACTGGCGCCATCAGAGCTCTCACAAGAACAGGATATAAATGCACCCTCACTACAGAGAGATGTTTTCTACAGTAGAATGAACTGCACATTCATAGACCCATATGTCACATTGCACTGAACATTCGTAGACCCATATGTCACATTGCACTGCACATTCTGAGCCCCATATTACACTGCAGCAACAGGATTGGCAGAAAAAAATACTCATCTGTTTTTACAATGTAGCCCCCATCACCTTTTGTGAGGTGGCTACTAGAAATTTAGTTATTTCCAGGGCTGATCCAATGAATGAGCTACCTCATTAATTGGATCAATGGGCTCTTTTAAAATTCCTGGCTTCTACTGCAAGAGGGGTTAATGCTGTGGAACTGGACGCTGACATCAAGGACTAAATGGAGTGTCGTTCCTCATGTTCTTTACCGCCATTCAGTGTCGAGGAAGCACCTCCTGCTGCTGCTTGTAGATTGCAAAGAGCCATGTAGCACTCGGATCTTCAGTTCTTTCCTACTGCCCACCAACATTTATTTTGGCCACCTCCGGACATCGAAATTTTACCGGCTACCAGCTACCTGGATTTTGTTAGTACCCGATCTCATTCGAAAGGAATGGAACTGTACCACGCTACATACATGTCATGTTTTGTAGTACCCAAACAAAGCGTAGGTGTGAAGCCAACCCAAGTTTCCTTCAGCCAGCAGTAGAAGTTCTCACCTGTATTTTCTGTGCGACTGTAGAAGTTGGGGCTCTTTACATGTGCCAGCAATAAGAATCATTTTTTTTTTAACCAAGTGGTCCACTTCAGAAACATACATTTGCAGACAGTGTATGTTTGCTTAATTTTTACTGACTGCCCATAAATATGAACAGTTGCCACCACTACCTTTAGACTGGAACAAGGAATTGTTAGAAAAATAACTCTTCTGAGATTCATAACTTTAGGGCACGTGTGTGTATGGTGTCTCAGTCCTCAAGAAAGAGTAACACACTTCACGTTTCCCTATATTGTTGTCATATTCCTTTGTTCAGTGTGCAATACTGGACAAAATATTTACTTCAGAATGAATTAACACGCCATAGTTTAATTTTGGATTAGACTTGTTAAATCAAAAAGGACTGAATGCAGTAATTCCTCATTACCTAATCAAACAGATGATGAAGGGCCAGATATCTCATGTGAGATGGCTTTAAAATCAAAAGGGATAATACTATAAATTAATGATTACAATGCGAATCCCACAGAAAACAAATAATTACATTGCTGTATCTACTCCTGGATTTGTCTGAAGTAGAATTGCCAACGTGATAAAAAGCATCCCCAGACAACAAGGTAAATGAATCAAATTAACTACTTTACTATCCAGGAAAAACTGCAGTTGTGCCAAGGTCACCAAAGTCATTTAAAGCTGGCCATACACCTATAGAGTAACTGCGGATTTTCTATAGTCAGATGGAAAAAGTCCAACAGATTCCTCCATCTACAGATAATCTATAGGTGTATGGCCAGCTTAACTTTTATGTAAGACATAAGCACGAAACAGCAAAACCCTTAAATGTGTGTTTTGGCAGGGCTTCAATTTATAGTCGCATGACCTGCAGTATAACCCATGGGTGAAGACATCCTTTGTTCCTCAATCGACTAGAAAGAAAAAAAAACTTTGGCCAGAAAGGGCAAAAGTAAATACAAATAAAGCTATTGAACATTAAAATATATCTAAAGTCCAATTCTTTTCCTTTGTAATTAGAAAGTGTGGGAAAATCTCTGTCAGTTTTTTCGCCATTTGTGATCAGTCAGAGATTTCCTTTAAGTTCCTGCCTGTAGACATAATAGAGAGTAAAACTCTACCAAAGGGTGGGATATCCCCTATAGACAGTTGTTAGCATACTGTATCTATGGAGGGACAGCGTTGTCATCCTAGTCTTATTACATAGTGTGGAAGAAGTTTTGCAGAAAAGAGCTTTAAAAGTTGATAACATTTTTGGACATTTCAATTCATTGTAGAGAAATGAACATTGACTCTTAACCTCCCTGGCGGTCTGATTATTTTTAGCATGCCAAAGCGGTACATTGTTTTTCATGGCAATTTGTTGTTTTATATTGTAGGCCTGTAATTCTTAGTAAATCTTAGGAATAACTCACCTAAATCTGTCCAAACAAGAGTCCAGTAGACATCCCGGGTATGATAAAGTTTGAAACACGAAATCATAAATTATAATATAATAAATAATTATAAGAAATTATAATATAATAAAAAAAATGGTCCAGTAAAAATGGGAATTCTGGGGGCGCTGCCTGATCCGTACCACAGGATAGAGTACCAAGTTTGCACATTACTGAGCAAGGTCGCAGAATCGTCGCTGTCGTCACTTTCAGTGTCGGATGACGAATTTCCCAACGAATCTATATCGCTCAATTCTGCAAGTGATTCTAATTTACTATCGCTGTTTTCTACCTGGTCTAAAACCGCTTTTGACCTAAAGGGATGCTTTTTGGATGCCATGGACGTTCTCAAGTTTCCAGGCAGAAAGAACAGTAAAAGTGCAGGCAGGGCACTGGACAAAATTGAAGTGAAATGGTTTGATACATAAATGTAATTATAGCAGATTACATTGTATTGTGTGTATTCTGTGTATATTGCATGTTTTCACTTTTGAATATCCCGCCGGCTCCGTCCACCGCTGTGATGCCGAAAACAAAACTAAAAGTAAGATGCCGGCATCGGCCGTCCGCGTACGGCAGAGGACACCGTGGGCTCGTAGGGACAAGGTAAGTGGCACTTTTGTGCAATCCCGAGTGTGGCTCGGGGTTACCGCTATTGGTACTGAAAATTAACCCAGAGCCACAATTATTTTGTATACTTACATTGGCCCAATGTAGGTATGCTTATGCCGTATCTGATCAGCCACTGGGGATCCTGTAAGGCACTGTAGTAGCCGGAGGTACTACATGAAAATGGCTTTTTTTTTCGTACCTTCAGGTTTTGCTTGCATTTCTATAAATTAGCCCCCATACCATTTGTATATGCAGAGTCTAATAGGATATACTGTATTTGTGTATCATGGTTTTCATTTTGTCTATGTATAAATTATGGTAATATTCATATGCGTTTGTGGTTCCCAGGCATTGGTGTTCAGGCTCGTCTCTTCCTGATCCTATTCTAATAATTTAATAGTTTTGAGGCTTTTTCTTTGGAAAATTACCAGAAGAGCTATAATTCTATAAACCCATTTGTGACGTTTATAACAGAGTGTACCTCGTAGCACAGCTGAACAATTGTCTAGACAATTATGAAAACGTCTGGTCCCCGTGGCAAATCAAGATGCCTTTTTAATGGATACCAGGTCCCACCATTATAACTTGCTCCTCTACGCCTTCCATCGTCATTGGCAGGAGGCCCTAACAGGCCTGGAAAGAGAGAGTGGGAACTTCCCCCTAATATGCTACTCCGATCCTACAGGTTCAACGTTCCATTGGATTAATACTACTGGGGGATTGTTAGCTTGACATTTGCTTTTATATACAACTTTCCACAATGTTATCAGCTACCAGATAAGATTTTTGCTATCTTTGAATACATATACAATGAAGGGCAGACACCTTCTCTTGTTTTTATAACTTTATGTATGCATTGTTCTCTGATGTTACAAAAATAGGTCATTTGTTTGTATACACTTGGTAAGCATTCAAAGACGTCCATCTTTAAATCACCATATTTAACGATATTTGTAAGACAAGTGCTGCTACCTCCTGGTCATGGTGTGCAGAATATTTTGACAACCCGCCTAAAACGTATATTGCAGCATTTGGTGGCACCATCTGAGGATTTCTCTCTTGGTGAGAGCTTGCACCAAGTTCCTGACTCTACACATCTGCTGTGGACAATATGAAGGGTTCCCACCATCCTCCTGGATTCCTAAATTCTTTCTACGGTGATAAGAATACCGTAGGATGAACAGAAACACCCCCAAAAGAGGGCATAAACTGTAGCTGGGATATTTCCCCAAGAATGATGTAAGAAGACAGTCGGTGTTTCAGCCCACCAGACGCCACCTGAGATAATGAAAGTATCACTTTTGAAGGGTGGACTGAACATACAACACTTTTTAAAGTTCAGTAGACTGAGAGGGCAAAGATGAAAAAAGCAGCAGACCAACATTATTGGATGTGGAGAATATGATGGAAGGTGTAAACGGTAGAAAGAACCTGCAGTAATGCTGGTTGCATTGCATCAGTCTCTAGTGCAAACATGGTGGAAAGTTTGACCTTAAGAAAATAAAACTGATCCGAGCTCATCATCACTTGGCTCCCTGTGACTACACATCACACACGTTTTTCAGGCACCAGTTGTATCCGTTCTCAAACAGCCGCATCCACGGCGAGACACCGAGCGACTGACGCCAATCTTCTGGCATCCAGGGCCACTGCCAGGTCAGGACACTGCGCTCTGGGTGAGGCATCATGGCGAGGTGACGTCCATCCTCAGAAACAAGTCCGGCGATGCCAAGTGGGGAGCCATTAGGATTCATGGGGTACTCCTCAGTGGGCTGGCCCTGGTCATCAACATAACAGAGAGGAGCCAGGTGGTGGGAGGTGACATGATCCAGGAAGGCCGGAGTCCGGAACCTCATCAGACCTGGACAAAGGGAAAGGAAGGAAGTTAACTGAGCCCACAAGAGACAACTATGTCTGTGTACTCTGGATGCTGCGTTTGAGGGGCTCATGTTATTATGATATGTGGAGGGTACTATGAGCAGTAATGCTGGATACAAGCATAATAGCTTTGGTAGGCCTGAGACCAGAGCCAGGGGCCACTAACACCACTTTGCCCTTCTCATGTTGTGAGCGGACCTAGAATACAGCCACAAGGTCTATCTGGACACCCAAAGATCAGACCTGTCAGACACTTTCCCCTTTGAATCCTACACACAATGCCACACCCACTACCTGCTATAATAATACGAGGAGCTCCAAAGGCCAAAGAACTGCCATTACTCCACCAGAGTGACCTTTACCCCACCAGAGTAATTTATGTCCACTAATAACTCAATACAATGCATGAAGTCCTTACCTTCTCCATGTGCCACCCAGACCCCCAGCGATGAGCCAGACATTCCGTGCAGCAGGATAGATGGACTTGCCTCAATTTTCACAGTAACAAAACGGGACTCGAATCGACCAGAGAGGTTGTGGCTGAGCAGTACACCCTGTGAGGGATCCTGTCCGGCTGGATGGAGAGATTGTGTGAATAAAGAACACGAAACACTCATACACAGACACACACTAACAATGTATATGACTCTGTACACAGCTCAACACAACCGAGACCGTCTTCCCTGCCAGCAGATTGGAAAGTTCTCAGGTTTTACCCACCTGCATCTGTTGGGTTCTCAGCACCAACCCAGCCCAGAAGAGCCATGAGCTGGCAGCCATTGCAGATTCCCAGACTGAACGTGTCGGGCCGACGGCGGAATGCTTCAAATAGTTCACGAACACCAGCATTGAACTTCACAGAGGCTGCCCAGCCTAAAAAAAAAAGAGGAATTTACAGATTTGTACTCCAAGTCTTTCTACATGAACTTCAACTACACTAAAGTTGGAACATTTTTTTTTAAGTTGCTACTTTTTTTATACAATCTGTCTTGAAAATCTAGTACAGCGTTTCCCAACTTTCTTTTAGTCACAACACCCTTTAAAATCTCGGGGCACGTCAGTCTGATATATAAAACAAGTACATGTAAAAAATGTTGTGTGGCCCATACAAAATCCATACCAGACCTTTATCCGAGTTAGGCTATGGTATGGATTTTAATCAGGGGCCCAATGCAAATATATGCAGGAGGCAACAAGCCTGGACGAAGGCGAACTTCCATCCTTTTCTGAATGGATCTATGGATTAGTGTCATTCATTTCCATGATGCTGGTTGCCGGCTGGCATGGCACTGTGTGAAAATTTTGAGGAACCTCTGATGAAGCCAGAAGGCACCCTGGTTGAGGAAGGCTGCTTTATTCTTAGAAAATAATCCCTTTCAGATACATTATCTTACGAATGTATGTAATTATTAATGTTTGCAATGATATATGTACATGGGGACACCTATATTTACTCAATTTGTGCTTTAGTCTTCCTCTGTAAGTGGACCTGTCATCGTTTTTTTCATGTTAATTAACTCATGTGAAGTATTATATCAGTGTAACACTTCCAGGTGTTTATAACCTCTCACAGAGATCACAGCCTACATCTACAACATCTATGGTCACCATCTACTTACTGTACTTAGACACCGCCTCAAAGATGACGAAATCATGTAAATCCTGGTGCCTGTGTTCACAAATGTCTGACATAGGCTGCAGCAGGGGCTGATCTATGACTTTGTGACTTACTAAAAAGTTATATTGCTGCAGTCTAAGCACTGAGGAAGAAGGGACTAAGGGAATGCTTCCTACTGCCCTAAGCAGGCCGCTAGAATCTCAGACAATGCAAATCCCTGAACTGAAACTCAAGGATGGCTATTTAGCTGTGAAAGGCTTGTTTACTCTAGCCCGCACACTAAAACGAGCCGTGTTAGTGTGCACTGGGGGTGCCATGCATTGTTACACTGCAAGACAGTCTCCCTTTTTGTCACAAAATGGCATTTTATACAATTCTATGTCCCATAGTGGAGCCTTTTTTGGCCTTATTTTAGCATCAATAACTTTCTGCACATAAAGAATTCACCCTGAATATCTTGTAAGTTGTAGAATGTCAGATGGCCATTTACCTTTAGCAGAGCCTAGAACATCGGCATAGCTGAACCCCCCAACAAACACTAGCCCCCGGAAGATGTCCAGTGTGGAGCCTCCCGATAGAAGATCCTCCATGGTGACGTCCCAGACCTGGAGATGAGAGAAGGACCATGAGAGACTGAAGTCAGTGGAAATGCAGAATGTCCAGCTTCTGATTGGACATGGCCATTACCTCAAATCCAGCCATTAAAAGTGCTGCCGCCATTTCTCTGTCGCCATTACTGCCCTCCTCACGAACAACAGCTACCCGTGGCTGGGTGGAACCTGCGAAGATAACAGCACATGTAGACAATGCAAAATTCAAATAAATGGATGGTTTAGTCCCTCTCCACATACCAGCCTCAGACAGAAGAGGGAGCTTTTCACTGGGGTTAAAGGTCAGCTTATACTTGGGCCCTTCTCGCCGGATGAGTCCTGCCTCCTCCTGAGACACCCAGCTGGGATTGGCTTGCAGGCGCTCCAGTTGGAAGCTTGTCTCCTCCCACACGGCCCTTAGTGTCCCCACCTCTTCACAGAGCACTTCCTCCCCGTTCACACTAACTCTAACCTTGAAAAATGATAATAAAAGAATTTATATAACAGCACTGTAGTTTCCAAAGACTCTGAAGAGAAATTTTGCCAAAGGTTGGTGAAGTATGACATGTAAAAGATCTTTTTGACGGCTTCAGTTTGAGGAGCTTCTGACTTGCAATTGAACACTTTCTGACCTGCATTTGACCTGTTCCAAGTGGGTTTGTCATAGCCATAAATGTATATGGGAACACAAAAGCCACTTGACGCAAGCAAAACCCGGTTGACACATGACCTTCATACCATCAAGTTACAAATGCAGCAATTACACACATTATATCGGCATATCACAAGACTGGAGAGCTTATTTAATACATTCTGATTAACAATGAGCATGTATTCCTCCCATGAGACTTACAGTGGATGTGGGTCCTTTCCCATGGGTGCACCCAATCTTCACACACTGTAGCCCAGACGACCGGTATTGCTCTATAACCTGCTCATGTGCGGCCTCCGGGACCTCCAATACCAGCCCCAATTCTTCTGCGAATAGCAGGTCCAGTGCTGGAGAGAGACAAGGGAACATTTAAGCATTTGTATGTGTAGGTTAAATGTTACACAAGACACGGGAGTACACAGAGTGAAACGCTTACCACTAGTGTCTGTGGAGGAGAATTCGACATTCAATCCACAGTTCCCAGCGAACGCCATCTCCAGGAGACATGTGATGAGACCGCCATCGCTTACATCATGACCAGCGCTTAGGCTGCGATCTGGGAGTGAGAGAAGAGGAGCAGAACCATGGGAGAAAACCCTGATTATATGCCAGATTAACAATGTAAATGCAATACACCGGAAATCTGATTTATAAACACATGCGTTCTAGGTGTATGAATAGGGAGCACTAGAGAAGGTAAATGACAGGAAACTCACCTTTAAGAAGTTTCTGTGTGACCTGGAAGCAGGATACTAGTGCCTGAGGGTCATCCAGGTCCGGAGATTGCTCTCCCAACTGTGAGTAGCATTGTGCTAGGGCACTTCCACCCATCCGATGCTGACCGGGACTAACAGGAACATACAGCAGGACGCCTGGAACAGGAAAAGAAAAACAAACTGGGAAATATAACAACATAGCTATAAACAAACCAAGTGTCTGACTATCCAGAGTATACCCAATCATGCTATAACATCACATATGAAGTAACAAAGACTATAAAGTGTCACATAAAGATTTTCTTTTTAAAGTAGACCTATAGAACAAATAGGTTTCACCTAAACCTTTTCACGTAGTGAGGACTGCAAAAGGTATAGGCAGGCCAGAAACATTGATCTCTCCCATGAAATCTCAGAGTTCTTTTTCTGCTGATGCCGGTCACTTGACTAAACATTGGCGCACTGGTCCTGTGATGTCAGGTAAAGGGGCTTATGGAAGTTCAGCTCAATTTTCGCTTCTGGCAGAGATCGGACACCCTTCAATAGAGATCACTTTACCAACGTTTTGCCATTTTGTGGTGGGACTGGCAATAGCTGGGAGGCCTTCAGATGTTTATACCCCTTACTTGTATAACTTTTTAAGCTCTAGGTTGACAGACAGAAGTGTCCAAATCTCAGGACTTACCACTCATGCCTGGGTTCTTTAGGTCTGGGGTGAGCGTGGCAGTAATATCCGGACACACAGCGTACACAGAGATCACAAGAGACCCTGGAAATGACACAAGGGATTAGAGCAGTGGATGTAAGATACATAGAACAAGGGAGGACAGAGGTCATTCTATCCTTGTCCCTACCTGGAGCCTTGACCGTTTCTGAGCCGACTCTGGCCGCCATGCTGAGAGAATCCTTCCCTCCGTCCACAGCTATGCCAACCTCCGCCATTACGTCACACATGGCAACGCAGGCATCATACAGGGCAGCCCCCTCGCCTGGCAGCTTGGCGGCCCACATCCAGTTTCCGCTGCATTTTACATCCTGCAAGGAATTGTTAGGAGATTAATGGAAAATCACTGTGTATTTACAGTGTCTGTGTGTTTCCAGAATCTACAAAATTGGGAATTACCTTTAGGTCAGAAGAAGAAAATAATGTCACAACCACACCATAGTAATAAATCAATAATCCATTTGATGGCAAGTTGCCATTCAATGCAAGTGCTTTCGGGGCCTCAAGGGGTCCCCTTCATCAGGCTCAGAATTACCTTTAGGTCAGTGACAAGAGCAAACACGAGATTCGTCAGCGCCTCCCCGACTGCCATACGGGCCCCAGCCTTTGGGTTCAGAAGACCCTTTATTGGTTGTTCGCCAATTGCTGTGGCTCCACCAACGGTGTCAGTATAGGACAATGCAACCACTGCCACATCCGCTAATGGTGTGTGAAGGGGACCCACGCACTGCTGCTGAGCCACGAGACCAGTGACAGAACGATCCACCTGCAGATGGAGACAGAGTGTGAGAAAAAGTACGCAGGAACCACTAACAAGCTATCCAAACTCTGAAGAGGGCACCACCTTATTGGTCAAGTATCTTTTGCTGGCCACAGATGGCAGTCGGAGAACTCGATCCAGGGCCTGTCTGACAACGAGATTGCTGGGGAACGTTAAAGGTTGGAGTTCAGGCAGAACTCGGTTTAATGCAAATTCCTGGGGAAAAAAAAAAAAACAACCCAGCAAACACGGGCTTAAATGGGAACTCTATTGAACTTGCAATGTGAGCTTTCCTGTTCTTACCCTGCATTGCTTCTATGATTCAATGTGAGCTTTCCCATACTTATCCTATATTGCCTCCATGATTCAGTGTGGCCTTTCCCCCGTACTTATCCTGCATTGCTTCCATGATTCAATGTGAGCTTTCCCCGAACTAATCCTATATTGCTTCCATGATTCTGTCTGACCTTTCCCCTGTACTTATCCTGCATTGCTTCGTACTTATCCTGCATTGCTTCCATGATTCAATGTGAACTTTCCCTGCACTTATCCTGTACTGCTCCCATGATTCAATATGTGGTGTAATCGGGGCATGGGGATAGTCTGTACCTTACGAGGCATTTTGCCCAGCACCCACTCCAGCTCCAAGTCCACCGGCATAGAATTTCGGTCACTTCCATCGGGTTCTGGATCCGCCTCGCTTCCATTTACCAACACAATCTGCACAATTGCAGAGGTTAAAGATTCAGTGACTGCGTTTCAAGAAGCCAGTACAGCCAGCACTGGGGTAAGCTAGATACATACCCTTCCATCTCCTGTGATCTTCCCAACAAAGTCTACAGGGGATCTCTCCCTACGACACACAGAGCGCAAGAACTCTGCATCAGCTGGGCGGAGGAGTAAGGCGTTAGATTCCTGGTACTCTGCACCCCAAATCTCCAGTACGCTTAGTGTGGGATCCCCTAACTGCAAAGAGAGGGGGAAATGCAGATAATGGGGAGATTTGTTTCAAATTGCAAAAAATTTAATGAAAGCAACCCTGTAGCTAGAATAATAAAAAGCTCAGACAGAGGCACTAGGTGCGTCCACAGTGCATGCGCTATGACATCCATGGTGTGGCATCCTCATGCATGTGCAGTGATGTTCTTCACTGCTGGGGGCCATCTTGGTGACGCCGGTAAAGAGAGGAGGTGATAATGACCCATAGGGGTAAAAGGTATGCCGCAGGTCCCCCCCTCCCACCCCCCTCTTGTGCCACTGTCGGGCTCTCAGTCCATGGCCACTGACTTAAGAGGGGGTGACACCAAAATAACTGTCAGTCATTTTGGTGTTACCCCCTCTGATGGTGTCAGCCGGTGTGGGCTGTATCCCCTGCACCCCCTTGTGACACCACTGTCCTTTAAAAATAAATGTAAAAAAATAAAATTACCAATACCCGTCTACAATCTATACTCTATGGCAGCTGCTATCCAACACTTTTGGGTGTACCAGATAGTACATCCCCTTCTGGTCGCTGCGGTTCCTCCTGCCAGCCACAACGCAACTACAGTACATACATTAATGTCAGTCTATTTGTGAACTAGGGGTGTGCTTCTGTGAGCGCCCCTAGTTTCACAATCTGACAGATCATTGACAATGCTGGTCTGAGACTAACAAACGTAAACCAATCAGTGATGTTCCTGATCATGGGGTTACAAGGAAACCTGCTGGCTGCCATGCACATTTGATTCATAATTTAAAGTTTCTGCACCTTTATTGGAAGGTTTATCTTCATATACAGCCTGAAAATCCTGGGCTGTAGTCAGTCACGACTTATATAGCAGCACAGCAAGCCAAAGCAACCAGATTTTAGTTTACAAAAGTCTACCCAGTAGCAGGTGGAATGCTAATAGTTCTTGCAGCCAAGGTAAGGGTCGGAAGAAGGACTCATGGAATAGGTAAGGGACTGTCATTGCACCTACCTGGAAGGCTTTGGTGTAGATGATTGCTCCTTCAGGTTCACTGAGCTCCTTTAGGACATTACCTGCGGAGAAGACCGAGCATGTCAGGATGGATGTTTTACTAATGGAGCCAACAGGGAGAATATTCAGGTCTCACCATTGCCTCCTGCCCCTTGGTCATGAATACTGCACACTGGATTCTTGTCTCCTCTCTCCACGCACGCCCGAACTGCCCTATTCATCTTCTGCTCCATCTCCGCATCTCCTCTCTGCACTGCACCAAAGTCCAGATCGCTGGCGTTGTCCCCCTGAACCTGGAAGGTGGCAGGGAATAAATGTGTGTCGCCATCTCCTCATAAATTACTTCTAAATACCAAGGCAGCCCAGCCCAGGAGGTAATCCTCACCTGAATAGAAGAGGCCGCTCCACCTCCTACACCAATCCTGTACACTGGACCTCCAATTTTCACTACATGCATTCCTAAAAGGCATAGAAAACAACAATGGACCTATTAACAATACAAAAAGTGCACAGTGCAACTATTTGGATTTCACCCTACTGGTGTCAGGTCAAGGGGAAAACAAAAATCAATTTATTAGGGTTAGTACACTTACCAAATCATTTTCCTATGCATAGTTGTGTTTTCCAGAATACTAAATGTTGTTGACAAGCTGTATACATCCCATGTTTAATTTAAAGCTAATCTCCAGGCATATATAAAGACACCAATTAATGCAGCACTTTATTTGCTCATACATCAGTAATTTCTTTTTTTTAATGCAAGCACTGTAAGCACTGAATTTGACTAGGTATCAGCCTTCCCTGTACATAACAGTTCAGACTGGAGAAGAAGCTCAAGGTGCCAGTTGGATGTACTTCATTGCAAGGAGCATGCTAATAGGAGGAGTGAGCAGATTTACCACATCAGTCTGCTGCTTCTCCTTTCAGTGTCCAATTAGAGGCTGGGGGAGGGTCCAGACCTGTAAGTGTTGCTTATCTGTTTCAAATGTGTATTTAGCGGTTTGCCCGGAGTTCAGTTTTAAAGATTTTAAAACACTCCAATCTAGCTCACAGCTTTAAGATTACTTCCATCAGTTTTAGCCAAGAGTATTTTTTTTTAATCACATGAAGAAAACGAAATCTAATCTAAATCTAGAGCTAGCCACACGCTTCATCCCGATTGTCCAATCTCCATACAAACTCCTTTAAATTTAGCAACAGCTATGCACCTAATCTATTACGCTTGTTCCCAGTCAGCCAGGTCCTCACATTATATACAAATCTAAAGAAAATGATACAATCAGATTTCTTACTTTATACAAAGAGCAATGAAGTTATTTTAATATTTCCTCCAAAAGTCAAGCTCGAGTATAAGTGTCCATCCAATTTTTATATCAGATCCCTCACCTGGTTCTGGCTTCTCCTTCTTCTGGTGAACATCCTCCATTGAACCAATGCCGCCACTGAACATGATGGGTTTCACCCACTCCCTTCTCTCCCCAGAGGGCAGACGCAGGCCAAACGAACGGGCAAACCCTGCAGATGTATGACAGCAGAATTTAGCTCACCAGTGGTGATTTGTATACAAAATGAAATACACATTGAATGTATCACCTGTTAGCACCGGCTCTCCAAACTTGTTGCCGTAATCAGAGGCTCCATTGCTGGCTTCAATGGCCACCTCTAGAGGCCGGGCAAACTGGACTGGGTACTGAAAGGAGTCATCCTCCCAGGGAAGGGGGTAACCTGGGCAGAGGTAGGCATAGAATCAGTGGGCAGAGAAGGAGACCAGGCTGGGGAATAGACTTGTCACATACGGCCAACTTACCAGGAATGTGCAAGTTACCAAAGCAGTATCCGGCAGTGCCTGCTATGACATGAGCGCCCTTCCCTGTGCACTGAACATCACGAATACGCCCGCCGGTGCCTGTGGTAGCGCCACTGAATGGAGCTACTCCTGAAAGGAGGAATGGTCACATGACCCTCAATCTTACAATTGAAACACAGACATGTCAGATGATCCTCAGGCCTTTAATAGGCAGGTATATACTGTACGTCACATGACCCTCAGTCTTATTATAGCTTAGTACAGAGTTACAGTCATGTGTGGGTCTCACCTGTGGGGAAGTTGTGGGTCTCGGCAGTGAAGATGAGGTGCCTGGTGGAGCTTTGCAGGTGATAGCGGCCGGCACGTGATGGGTCATCAGGGATCAGAGCCATAACCTCCCTTCCCTGGATTGCACTGGGTAGACAAAGGCCAAATAACTTTGATCTTATGATAGAGTTATTCAGTGAATTCTCAATAAGCATGACGAGATTCAAAATGTTAAGGATGCTTATCAGGTCCGTTCTTATCAAGACGTCATGATGACGATCTGTTCACACCCACCTGCTGTTATCACAGAATTTGATGACATTGTTCTGGTTACTGCTGTCCTGTGTCTTCATGATCATATCAAACAGCGAGAGAGCCTTCTCCTCTCCATCTATTACCAACTGACCCTTGAAGAACCAGTGTCTGCTGTGCTCACTGCAGAGGAAAAAAATAAGAGAACATACAGGGAGAGAAGAGAAAAATAATTAAAAAAAAAAAAAAAAAGGATACAGAATAAATGTCAATAGAGAAAGACAGAGCAAAAGAGGAGCGGGGAGAAAAGAGGAGCGGGGAGAGGAGAAAAGAGGAGCGGGGAGAGGAGTAAAAAAAAGGGGGGAAAAAAAAAAAAAAATTAAAAAAAAAAAAAAAAGGATACAGAATAAATGTCAATAGAGAAAGACAGAGCAAAAGAGGAGCGGGGAGAAAAGAGGAGCGGGGAGAGGAGAAAAGAGGAGCGGGGAGAGGAGAAAAGAGAAGAGGAGAGGAGGAGAGGAGAAAGAGAAGGAGAAGAGGAGAGGAGAAAGAGAAGAGGAGAGGAGAAAGAGAAGAGGAGAGGAGAAAGAGAAGAGGAGAGGAGAAAGAGAAGAGGAGAGGAGAAAGAGAAGAGAGGAGAGGAGAAAGAGAAGAGGAGAGGAGAAAGAGAAGAGGGAAGGGATGGAAAAAGAGAAGGGAGGGGAAAAAGGAACAGGAAGAGAGGGAGAAGAGAGGGAGAAGAGAGGGAGAAGAGAAGGAGAAGAGAAGGAGAAGAATAGGAAAGATACAAGAAGGAAAAATACAGATACAGAATAAATATGTACAGAGAAAGAGGAATGGACAGAGACACACAGAGCAAAAGGAGAATTGGGGAGGAAAGAGTGAAGAAGAGAGGAAGGAGTGAAGAAGAGTGGAAGAGTGAGAGAGGATAAAGAAGAAAGATTGAGATGGGAAGAGATTGTACATTACTCATATGATTACTCAGAGTCAATGGTTTACAAAGCCATCTAAAACAAATTACTCCAAGACAGGAAACATCCCAAAGCCCCAGAAACTGTTCAGTAGGAGAAGCAACGCACACAGATGTTCAGCCATGTCACTCCACATCGTGGTAAAATAATCACTTTCTGCAGCTTTTCATGGCCACATCTCATCCTGACAACCAATACACACAATACAACTAGGATACAACATTTAAAATGATAAATATCACTCGCCTATTGGACTGAGCCAAATCAAAGCACTCCACACTGCTGGGGTTGCGGCCGACGCGCTGGAAGAGTGCCGTGTAATAGTCCAGATCCCAGGAATCAAATGCCAAACCTGCAGAGCAATGGTGAAACTTTAACTGACACAGGCAAACATTTCAGAAATATAATCCCGGGAGAACCCTATTATATGGCTCACATACCCAGCTCGGAGTTTGCCTGCTCTAGCGCTGCCCTTCCTCGTCCGATCACATCCACCTCATATACCTGCTCTGGACGCACCGAGATCTCGAAGTTTGTCACTGGATCTGGATATACACATTCTGTCATCCGATCATAGAGCGATGCAATGAGTTTCTGCTTCTCACTCTCCGCCAGATCTTTCTGGAACTAAAAAATATGGAGCGAAAGACATTCCATAACTAAGAACACAATGACCACCTCCCTGGGCACATAACAAGCCTCGGAATGCTCCATGTAAAGACCCCACCTAATTGCAGTCTGTAACCTCAACTGTATATGATATGGATAGCTGAAAGTGGCACAGAGGGCATGTAGGAACCCAACTTCTCTCTAATGTGTGGAGTGTAGAACAAATTACCACCTTTAATGTATAGAAAAATCGTGATTTTTAGGCTGAGCAAAGGTGACAACAATGCACTTCAGCTGCTGTACATCATAGGATATTGTCCCTCATCGCTAAACCTCAACAGTAATATTACCCTGACCCTTACCTTTCCAGTGGCCCACGTGCTGCAGCGCCATGGCTCCCAGTCACATTCGGAAAAACAGAGGCTGCTGTGCTAATGCCAGTGACTGCATCATATATGTCGTTTTTTTTATTTTGCCTCACTTTAACTTATAATAATCCGCTATAATGTCCAAAGCCCAATCTGCCTCTTTTAGGTTTAGTGATCCTCTATAACCCTCCTAGTACCTTTATTAGGAATCTCTTAGAGCATTCTATCCTGTCCACGGCGGTCAGTCCGATGGAGCGGCATATGGACACGGCATTGGTGGAGGAAGCGGTGGAGAAATTTAGCCTGTAGAAGATAGCAAAAATAAAGAGCGAATAGGAGGTTTTCATTTTTTTGGATCATTGAACAAAAATGTGGAAGGGTTGGAATCTCTGATATGTTTTTATTGTTGTCTGTGTTCCCACTGGGAAGATCTCCTATTAATTCCTGCCTCAGCAAACGTATATTGCATTGATATTGAGCTTTAAAAAAATGTAAATTCCAAAAGAAAAAACAGGGATATTTCTAGTTTGTGAATTAGGGATGCATCCATACTGGTTTTTCGGTATCGAGTACCGATACTTTTTTTTACAGTACTTGCTGATACCGTATACTGATACCGAAGTGCCATTAAAAGGAGAACTATGGGGTCCAAGCTTTTCTTTACTTTTGGATTCCATGGGCTGTAGGAGTAAATTTTGCAATTTGCTCCTATAATCCAAAATGCACCCTAAACATACAATCGTTACTTTAAGATGGTGGGCAGGGCTAAGCGCCGCAGTGGGGAGAGATCCCGACAATACTGTAGGGATCCTCCCAACTGATCGTTCTCACTGTGACTGACGGCGTTCCTTGAGAACTGCTGCGCGTCCACGAATACTTGGGCATGCGCAGCAGCTTTCTTCCTACCTCCACGTCCCCGTCGTCTGTGCCAGCAAATGACAGCACGTCCATGGAAGGTTGTTTCTCCTCAGTGCCTTCGCCCCTCCTTCCTCTCTGTCTTGAAATTGTGCAAGAGACGAATGTCTCCTCTCACACTGTGTGCTCTGATCGTTCAGGGGAGACAAGTCAGAGATTTCCTGTACAGTGGGGGGGGGGAGCTGAACGATCAGAGCACACCATGTGAGAGGAGACATTCGTCTCTTTCTCATCGAACACCGGAGCTTGCAGAGAGGGGGCGGGGTTATGATAATAGCTGAACGGTGAGGGGGAACTAAGATTTACAGGGAACTGGTTTCCATACAACTGCTGCAGGCATCTGATTACTAAGACAGAGCAGGGGAAGATCGGTGAAGAGAGAGAGAGAAAGAGAAGGGAGACAGAGTCAGCTTGCTGCTTCTCAGTTGAGACTCTGCCTCCTGCTCCCACATGTCAGCGTGCACACTCCAGCCGAACACAGTGTGCTTGACTAGAGAAAGCGCGGCCACGGCAGATAGTTAGAAAAATAAAACTGAGGGCGGGGCTGCAATCTCTGTTAACGCCCCCTAAGAGGAAAGGAGCTTGGAGCATGGCTGCAGGTGGCTGTTTTCTGTGGCTTGTGATTAATTTATCTGGGATGTGCTGCGACTTTGGAAAAGAAGAAGAATGCTATTAGAGTAAAGGCAAGAAGTACTTTTATTTGCCCTTAGGTCATAATTCTCCTTTAATGAAGCCGGACGGCTTCCCGATTAGCCGGTAAGCCGTCTCCATGCTCCCTCGTCACCAGGCGATGAGGGAGCATGGAGATGGCTTTCTGGGTGAGTCATTACCCCCCCCACCCCTCGGCTTCCTGATTGGCAGGGAAGCCAGCACCATGCCCCGTAGTGATGTAGGGAGCATGCAGCCAGTTTCCTGGTCAATCAGGAAGCCAGGCAGTGTGTAATGCCTTGCTGTTCGGCTTCCTGATACTGGAAGTTCCAGTATCAGGATAGGCATTGGGAGCATTTGGGCAAGTACGAGCCAATACTGATACTAACATATGTGCTTCCCAATTGTGAATACTCAATGCTGACACATAATGGAAAGAAAGAATTTTAATTAAAAAAAATAGTTTTATGACATTTACAAATTTACTTGGTTAAAACCATGAATAGATCCATTGCAACATTATTATATTGTTTTATAGTCTACATCACGAGGAATCTTGCATCTGCTGATTTTCAGCCAACACTTTTTCAAGGATAAGAATAGTGTTAACAAAACAAATATATTGTCAGGTACACATGTAGGTAACATGATAGATTTGTTTTCTCACAAGATGATATTTATCACTTGCGCTGCATGTGGATCCTTAAAACAGTGGACTTTGTTCCAAGAAATGCACTGGATGGAAATCAGCAGATGCAAGATTCTCTGTGATGTAGACTATATAACAATATAAGGATTCTGCAATGGATCTTTTCCTGGTTTTAACCAAGTACATTTGTAAATGTCATAAAACCCTGTTTTATGTTAAAAAATAAAAAAAAACTTCAAATGCTTTTATGTATGTATCAGTACTGAGTATTTTTTGGGAAATTTTATTATCATGTTAAAAAATAAATACATAAGTAAATAAAATATCCTCCCAATCAGCTCACTTGCCTTTCTCCCAGCATGCAGTGCCCAGTGAAGAAAAAAAAGGCCTAAATACTGTCATGTAAGGGAGGAGGTGATGTCATCAACATTGTGTAAGCTCTGACACCATCAGGTATGGAGCTTACAGAGGGTTTGGATTCCCAGCTCCAACAGAGAAACAGAACAACATGAAAGGCGAGTACGATTGCAAGGGGAGGGGGTGTCCTTCAAGATCCAGAACAAGTCTCTGAGGAAATTGCCCTATTTTATGCAATAGGCTACCTGCAATCCCAACTTCTAGTTCCAGCAAACTAGTTACAGGAGCAAGGAGATAAGGATTCAGAAACATTTTAGATACAACGTGCAATGTTAGAAAATAATGGTCATCTGCAGGCTGAAATGGAAAGTCTCATGTGGTAATGAGACACGAGTAGTAATAAGACACTGCGGCTCACCTTGGTCCAATCTCCACGAGAAGGTCTGAGGGATTAGGGTGCAGAAAAGACGCATCTGAAATGCTCTTGGGGTCAAAGGGGCAGCTGAAGAGCCAACGCAGTGTCTCAGTCTCCTCGATAGAAGGCGGGGCATCACCTGCACAAAATCACAAGTACCATTTGAATGGAATGGACAACTCTACTGACATTGGTTAAGTGTTACAAGGAAATAATACTTTTAGATTTGAAGGTTGATCTGTTCCCTTGTTAATTTGTTATTATTAGTTTAGTCTTAATTTATTATAATTGGTTTTAAAAAGGCAGCCACATAAGCAAATATTTTATGAGAACTACACTAACCAACCAGAACTGTGTGTTTCCCAGTCAATAAAGATTCTTTATTATGCATCAGCTCCAAAATTATTTCAATTCAAATTATCACAGATATACAATCACTTGTATCATGCAGCTACAGTGACGAATCTACAATACAATATTTATCTCACTTCCTGTTAGAAGTCATGACTAGGGATGCACCAAAATTTCAGACACCGAAACATATCGGCCGAAAATGGTACTTTGGGCAAAATGCCGATGACGGCACTCTCCTCCCCGACCCGCTTGGCATCCTGACAGTTTCTCTCCTCCCCGCTGGACGCTGTGCTGTGTCAGAGCAGCCACATAGAAGCGCCCAGCAAGGAGGAGAGAAACTAGAGATGCACCACAATTTCGTCCGAAAGATATGCCGAAAAATGCCGAAAGTACTATCTTTCGGACGAAATTGTGGTGCATCTCTAGTTTCTCTCCTCCTTGCTGGGCGCTTCTATGTGGCTGCTCTGACACAGCACAGCGTCCAGCGGGGAGGAGAGAAACTGTCAGGATGCCAAGCGGGTCGGGGAGAAGAGTGCCGTCATCGGCGATGTCAAAGCAGGCCGAGCTCCCCTCCTGCACTGCCCCACTTAGCCTCCCATGACAGATCAGGATGGAGAGCAGTGTGAGGGAGGAGACAGTTGTGAGCAGTCAAAGGAGGCCAAGCCCATCCTGATTCACTGTCACAGGAGGCTGAGCTGGCAGTGCGGGGAGGAAAGCTCAGTCACCTTTGACAGCTGACTCCTCCCCCGCAACGCCAGCTCAGCCTCCTGTGACAGTGAGTCAGGATGGAGAGCAGTAACAAGCAGTCAGTGATAGCTGACTGCTTGTAAATAATTGAGGACATAGTATGTTTACGGTGTCCCCAATTATGAATGAACAGGAAGTGCTCTACATTCATTCATGATTGCGGACATGGTAAACATACTATCTCCACAAGTTATGAATGAACAGAAACACTCAGTATAGAGGCTTCCTGTTGTGCAATGTGTAAGTTTTTGTTGTTGGGTTTAGATAACCCTGTATTCACCTACTTTCACCCTTTGCTATATCTAAGTGCCCGCTGATCTCCTACAGCCATTTTCTGTCTACATGCACTCCAGTGATGGCTGCATGACATTTCTCATGGCAGGTTTTCTAATGGTGACAACAGTGGACTGTGCATAATGTGTGTTGAAGCAGCCACTTGTGTCTTCATCAGAAATTCACCTGACAGGATGACCACACAGGAGCATAATGAGGAGACAGGCATAGTGTGTTGTCACCCTACAACAAGAACTGCCTGAACAAGGACCTTCATGGCAGGATCACCAGGGACTATTGAAATAAAAGCTGCAGATTTTAAAAAGACAAATTTTAAAAGATTGAAAATCCTTTAGAAAATTGAATTAACATGTTAAAGCTTTATTTGGGATTATTAGTGGTTGTGTTTCATCCACTTTAAAATCAAACGCATTCAAAAAAAAATGTCAATTGGCCAGTTGTGTTCACAAGTCTGTATATGAATGTTGGAAGCGCTAATTACTGTATATTTCAAGTTTCCAACATAATGTGAAGTCAGTAGCGGTGTCCAACCCTGGGCTGGACAAATCCCAGGAGCCAGGTCGCCAATGCTCCTTAAAAAATTACAGCTAGTGCAGAACTTTTGAGTTTTTCCTTTAGCTGTCAATGGAGTGACTCCTACAAAAGAATCCCGCTGGCTCCCAGATTGGACAGACTGGCTCCAGAATTACACAATGATTTGTCCACCCCTGCACTAACCATTCCCTTTTCTACGAAGTAAAAATAATTGAACATCAATCAAACTTTCATCAGATACATGGTCTGTCTGTGGCCACTCTCTAGGACTACTTTAGCTTAGACACCGAGCCGCAGCCAGGGGGGGGTCACTCACCCGTCCAGTTGACATTGTAGCAGAGCTCCCTCTGAACACTTTGGATATTCTCCGCTCCGGACAGACGCAGGGAGTGAGCGCCATGGAGGCAACAGTAGAAGTGCAGGACCACCATCTTGCCTCAGAGGGGGCACCTGGGCAGGGAGAAGAGAGCATGCTGTCAGAGCGAGGAGGAAGGAACCACAACACTTTGAGACATACTAAAACCATGATTAAGTCCGGTAGTAGTAAAGGCTTGTACCGTGCTAGCCATGGAAGCCCCCATCCTCCCAGGTCACCTATATTGCTGGATTAGAGCTAGCCATGCCGTCATCACAGATTGTTATCATAGTGTACAATGGTGTCTACACACTTATTGGTGACAAATCCCTGGACTTTGGCTTACAAACACACAGGCTCTGCAAAAACATACATCTTCAATTCATTGTGAAACAGCCGCAGACATCAGGAAATGTTTAGACGTCTTGTACAATGTCTACTGGTGCAGCTTCAGCCATGAAGAGGAATGATCAGCTGATCTGAGCGTTTCTGATCATGCACAACACACCGCAGACTGTCCCCAGTGTCGGCTTATATAAGATGTAACAATAGAGGATATAAAAAGCAGCAATTGTGAACACGGGGGTCTCCCTGTGCTAAGCAATGCAGCATAGAGGGGAGTGTGAAGCACAAGACTGGCTGAACAGAATGGATTTGACTAATGTATATAGCTCTGGCACTCTTAAATTTTACTGGTAACCAGTTAGGTTAGCAGTGTAGCTTAATCGGCTTATGGATTACATAACCTGATTATGTAGGGCCGTCATATAAAGCCCAAGCAAGCAGCATAAAATCCAGGACTCTGCCAGGCAGGTGTGCTAACCACTGAACGATTGTGCCATCCTTATTACACATCCAATGGCAAGCACAAGAGTTTGGCCAATTTACATCTATGCATGTTAAATGTATTGCGGGGCCATTCATTTTGAATAGCACCCCAACACACTAAGGCAGGGGTAGCCAAACTCCGGCTCTCCAGCTGTGGTGGAACTACAAATTCCATGAGGCATTGGAAGATTCTCACAGACATGACTCCCGGAGAGAGATGCGTCATGGGATTTGTAGTTTCACCACAGCTGGAGGGCCGGAGTTGGCTACCCCTGCACTAAGGCAACGCACGTGTAACAAATGGCAACACACTATAGTAAGTTTCGTCAAAACTTTTGCGGCACGTCTGATTTTTGTCCATTGTTTTCATTGGTCTGCCTCAATGCAACGCATGTTAATGAGCCCATACGGATTTCCCTTCTGCTCAGCTGTAACGTGGACCTGTCATAAAAGAAATCACACTTTATATAGTATCAGGAATTCCTGATACAAAAACACAGCATCTCTTATCAGGTATCTGCAGCCAGCCATATAGTATCAGACTAAGGGCTGTTCGCACCTGCAGATGCATGTTACATTTGTGTACATGCCTGCACTGCGATGCATCGGCACACACTGTAGCGTTTGCATTTTTTTTAACACAGTTGCATTTGGGGAAGTCTCATGAATTGATCTGTGAGACTCGATCAGGTTCCATTCACACATGACCGGTTTTCCACGAGTATTCGGCTCTATGAATACGCGCTAAACATAAAAAACAGTGCATTGTTCAGACTATTGTGGCGGCCGCGTGGTACAAAACTACAAAATAGTCCAAGCGCGAATTTATGGGCAGATCCTGCACGTTCCGGCTATAGTAATAACAGCAAACGTGGGGAATCCGCACGTACGTTAATGTTTGCGCGGTTTCCCGTGCGAAAAGCCACGTGGAAAACGCTACCGCTCTGTGTGAATGAAGCCTCAAACAGCCATGGGTGGGAAATGGTTTACAAAGCAACGACAGCTGACAACGCATGTAGCTGTTCGCATGTCATTGGGCCGTAGTTACCTGCGGATGATTGCCCCTGGGTGCAAACAGTTTGCATGCAGGGGCGATCATATGCAGGTAGATGCTGCATTTCTGATTCCATGTGAATGTCCGCTACAGGTAGTGGGGGGATGGCAACCAATCAGCTTCTCTCTTTCATTTTCAAATCTTAAAGTGACATTAAAGTAAAAAATGTTTTTCCCTCCCCCAATGTTAGTGTAAGCGCTTACCTTAAATGATGTTACTTAATCCGATCTTCTTTCCTGTCCTTTTCATCTGTCCCTCCAGTGCTGCAGCAGGTCTCCAATCCAGCGCTGACTCCTCTGGGCTTGCTGGCACTTCCTGTCCCACGTTGTCTGCATGCGGGTGCACGCGTCCATAGACTTACCTTGTGTCTCTCCTCGCGTTCTGGCCGAAAGTGTGATCTGCGCATGCGCCCGCCCCAAGATGCTTTGCGGCCTCCCAAGATTTTTCACATTTTCGGACGGGAGCGCGTGTGGAAGACACAGGTAAGTATTAACCCTTTTCAAAGCGTTTTTTTTTTTTACCCTTTTTGCATGCATCTACTGCTCGCTAGCAATGGATATATGCAAAAACACCTGAGGCTTTAATTATGCTTTAATTGAACAAACTGAAAAGAGAAGCTGATTGGTTGACATTTTGTCTGCTCCAGTGAGTGCTGTCAGGTGTCATTGCTTTGTATTATGCTTCCCGCCCACAGCTGTTTGCAAGAGTCCCACGGAGTCCCAAACGCAAGTGGGAAAGTGGCTGAATATAAAAACAAACACTTTATTAAACTCTATGCACAACCGTGTATTATGAGACATTGAGGTGTGTTGCAATGCATTGTTGTGCACAGCATAAATAACACACTGTGTGAACATAGCACATAGAGAACAATTACTATCTCTGTGTCCTTGCATTGATCAAGGCAAGCTCAGTGCACCTGGCATGAACGAGCCTCAAACCTTCATAACTAATTCCAACACCAAAATATTATGAGAGATGTTTTGTTTATTTCCCCAGAAATCTCTTATTTTGATCATTTCAGTTTTGTATAATAAACACAAACACTCTCCCACTTCCTCTCCTCCACTGATATCCCAGGTGCTCTGAGTGAAGCAGAAACTAAAGACTTGCATGGTGTATAGCACATCCTGAATATTACAAATCTTCTGTTCCCTACATCAGATCCCTGCAGTGTATATAGAGCTCAGCATTCCAGATTTATAAAATACTGATCAGCAACAGACCAGATATACAAAGTTGCAGACCGGAATCAAGCATTGGGAGATGTGGCAGAGCAATGATCTGCAGAGTTTGTATCAGTCGCCCTGCAGCTTCCTGGAGGTGTATCCAGCCCAGCACTGATCACTGCACACCCAGCCCTGTTATCAGCATGCAGGGTGCATTTGTAGCACATTATATCATAAGTACAGTTCCTGTACAATCAATTCATACATTACTCACCTACACCATGTGCTTCCAGAGCAGAGACTGCTGGAGGAGGAGATCAGAGAGGGGAGGCAGAGCAGGAGGAGACTGGGGAGAGAAAGGTGGATCAAAGAGGAGGGCAGCACAAGAAGAGATTGGGGAGGGCTAAGGGAGATGAGGAAGGGGCAGTACATGAGGAGACTGGGGAGGGCTAAGGGAGATCAGAAAGGGGAGGCAGAGCAGGAGGAGACTGGGAGGGGAAAGGTGGACCAAAGAGGAGGGCAGCACAAGAAGAGATTGGGGAGGGCTAAGGGAGATGAGGAAGGGGGGGCAGTGCATGAGGAGACTGGGGAGGGTTGAGGGAGATCAAGGAGGGTGCAGAGCAGGAGGAGACTATGGAGGGGAATAGAGAACCATGGAGGGGGAGGCAGCACAGGGGAAGACTCGAAAACAAGAGAAAAGTGATAGGATGTGATCTGGGAGAAGTGACAGGAAGCAAACAGATTACAATGACATGCTTTACAGTCATGCTCAGGCTGATGATTGTCCTTCCTGTCCCATGAGTCTCACTCATCGTACATTAGGCACTCCGGACTTGCATGTGCTTTCACTTAAATGACCCCAGATCAGTGCACAGGCTGCTGTCTGTGTCATGGAATTATGCAATATTTATAAATAGATTGCAGCATGTTTGCTGTGTTCTGCAGCTCTGAGATTCAGGTGGTTTTCAATGGTGTGCATAGAATTAATGTGTCCTGGCCATACAATACGTTGAGAGACCATTTAAAGGCTCAGGAACCCTTTGCAGGTGTTATGGCTTAATTAGCTGATTAGAGTGGGACACTTTGAGCCTAGAATATTGCACCTTTTCACAATATTCTAATTTTCTGAGTTTGTGGATTTGGGGTTTTCATGAGCTGTAAGCCATAATCATCACAATTATGACAAATCACGGCTTGAATTATCTTGCTTTGCATGTAATGAGTCTATCTCATATATTAGTTTCACCTTTTAAGTTGCATTAGTGAAATAAATGAACTTTTACACGATATTCTAATTATTCGAGTTTCACCTGTATATGGGACTTGCGCATCACGTTACCCGCTTTCTGAACATACAGCGTAGCTGCGGTTGCAGAAATGTTTTGCCTTCATGGCAAGGGTGATTTCTACCAGATGTGGTAGCTTTTTTTTTTTGTCAATGTGCTAAGCACTTGGGGAGGGAACATGGAGAAGAGGAAATATAAGCTCTGTTTTGGACAGATTTGAGTTTGAGGTGGTGGTGTGACATCCATGCTCAGATGTCAGTGAGTAGATTAATGATACGTGAAGAGAAAGAGGGGGGTGAGCTGAGGAGTGGAGAGATAGATTTGGGTGTCATCAGCATAAAGATGGCATGTGAGGCTATCAACTGACCCAGGGAAGAGGTGTAGATGGAGAATAGAAGGGGCCCATGAACAGACCCTTGGGGGACCCTCATAGGAAGAGGAGAGGAGGAGGTAGAATTGTAAGTGAAACTGAAAGTATGTTGAGATAGGAGGTGAACCATGAGAGAGCAGGGTCTTGGGATTGGAGTTTATTAAGGAGAAGCAGGTGGTCAACTGTGTCAAAGGCAGGTCAAGCAGATTGTTATTGGTAAGGGGGCGGCTCAGGCAGTTTTAGACCAGCTGTTTAAGAAGTTTGGAGTTTAAATGGGAGCAAAGAGATGGATCTCAAATTGTTCACACTAGTGGGCTCCAAAGAGTGTTTTTTTTTTTTATATGGGGGTCAGCAATGCTTGTTTTAGAGAGGTAGGGATGACACCATTAGAAAGGGAGAGATTGAAAATGTAAGAGAGTGTAGAATAGAGACAGAGGGTGACCGGAGTAGTTGTGAGGGGATGGGGTCCAGGGGGCAGGTGGTTAGGTGTGTGTTGGATAAAAGAGTAGCAACTTCGTCTTTGGTAACTGGATCAAATGAAGAGTAGTGAATGTGGTGGTAGACAAGGTGTGTTTGGACTGGGAGAGGCCTGGACACTGGAGATTTCACAGCGAATTGCGTCAGTCTTATCTTTCAAGTGATTGGCAATCACCTGGGCAGTCAGTGAGTTGGTTGAAGGAGGTGGAGGGGGACAAGGTAGGGAGCTGACGAGAACTAGGTGAGAGGGTGTTAATGAGTGTGATGAAATAGGTCTGTTTTGCTGTATGGAGGCAGGTACTGTATTTTTGGAGGGCAGATTTATATTGGGTGAACTCTTGCAGGGATTTGGATTTACTCCATAGGCGCTCAAGAGTGTGACTTTGTCTTCTAGTGTCATCTGTCTGCTAAGGGTGTAGTGGTCGGGGCCCGATTCTGTGAGTGCTGCGGGACTAACGATAGGGAAAGTGTGAATCTGATGAGGTTGTGATCAGGGAGTGGAAAAGGGGTGTTCGTGAGATTGCAGAGGTGGGAGAATATGAGATCAAGGGTGTTACCATCAGAGTAAGAAGGAGTGTGTGTCCATTGTGTGAGGCCAAAGGAAGAAGTTAGGCTGAGTAGCTCAGAGGTTACTGTGTTGCTAATATTGACAAGGACATTAAAGTCACCGAGAATGACAGGGGGTGTTTCAGAGAAAAGAAAATAGGCTAGCCAGGCAAAGAAGTTTTCAAGATGGCGTAATACCGATCCTGGAGGCCAATAAATCACAGCAACACCATGGGAAAGGTCAGCCAGCGAGGCAGAGTCCGAATCCTGAAGCCAGGTTTCAGTAACAGCAAGTAGGTTAAAGGAGTTGGAGATAAAGAGGTCATGGATAGAGGTGAGCTTGTTACAGACTGAACGAGCATTCCAGAGGGCACATGAAAAGGGGCGGGCAACTGGACCTCGGCAGCAGAGGTATAGCAATGAGATTGATTGGATTGTGGCTGCTGCCAGAGGAAGATGGCTGTTGGGTATGCTGAATAAATCTAGATTGTGGGGGGCCGGGATTAGGGAAAATGTCCCCAGAAAGGAGAAGCAAGACGGTGAGAGAAGTGAGAATAGTTTTCAGGAGTGCCTATGCTCTAAAGTCCTGCAGGCTTTGCCAGCATGTCGATTCAGGATAAACAGAAGTTGATAGGTGCAGTAATAGGGAGAGGGCAGGAGTGAGGGTGATGTGTGTTAGGGTCAGGTCACAATATATATGACACTGTCCGCTGGCAACAGGATCACTATGCAGATCGGAGAACATAAAAAAACCTCATCGAACTCCATTTATCGCTCCCTCGCTGTCAAATGAATGTGCGCACAACAGGAAGTCACTTGACACTCATCCCATCAGCCAGGAAGTGAGATGTGGATCCATGTAAGTGTTTGCTCTGTACAGTAACCCTTTCACTGGAAATTCAATCCTACTTACCACCCACACACAGGTGCACCCCTTAATAAATTCACCTGTCAAGGCTTTATTGCCAGCCCTACCTACACCACCCCATCTTACAAGGCTTTGTGGCCAGACACCACCCAATGGCTAGCTTCATCACCACCTGCCAGAGTTGATCTTAAAGGCCCTGTGGCCGGTTTTGCCATCAGTATCACCCACAGACTTTACTTCACCGCCATCTCTTCAAAAACCTGGCAAACCCCATGATACCCTCCATTCAGCCACCTTCACCCACATGTAGCAAGGATTAGGCTGAATACCACCACCCCTTGCATTAAGTTGGACCATTTTTACAGACTTCAAAGCCGCATTCACAATATTTCAAGCTATTGATGTCAGCACCCTGTTTCCTTGTAACGATGACAGCCGGTAAGTATGCCAAGGCTCTGTGGTTAGCGTGCCAACAAAGCCAATAGACCAATTTGAGGTTGCATGCAGGTTTCAAACTCACAACCTAGCTTTTGTAGAGCTGTGACTCTAAGCTGGCCATACACTTATAGATTATCTGCAGATTTCCTATGGTCAGGTGGAAAAAGTGCGACAGATTCCTCCATGTACGCTAAACTGTGTGGATGGAGGAATCTCCCACTGGGCCAAGCTTCAGTATCTTGCTAGTCGGCCCCGCTGGCTGTCAAAATACCAGAGCAATCTGATTGGATGCAGGCATTTTGAGATCCAGTGGGGCCGACTAGCAAGATACTGAAGCTTGGCCCAGTGGGAGATTCCTCCATCCACACAGTTTAGCGTAGATGGAGGTATCTGTTGCACTTTTTCCATCTGACCATAGAAAATCTGCAGATAATCTATAGGTGTATGTCCAGCTTTACACACTGCACCCCAAAAACTGAGTAAGATATGTGAGCCATCTAGAAAAGAGGGTGTTAACAGGCACATCAGGACTAGCGCATACAAAATGATACATTTGATCCTGTGGACTCTTGGCTCATATGAGACCTTACTAGCCCATTCAGCCACGTGCACATTACAGTGGTAAGTGGACCAGAATGCATTCATTGGAAAATAGGAAAAATACCCAGGAAAGAAAATAATTCTGTTTTTACAATCTGAGACTTTATGCTGGATTTGGGTTATGACCCTGTACTTACCAAGCAGTCACCTTGCACCACAGTTAGCTGGTATCTGACCCAACTAAAAGCTGGGTATTAGCAGACATATATTAGGTATACTTCAGTCCACAGCATCAAACCCAATTGTTGTTTTCTAATATTCCTGACACGTCTGCTCTCACGTGTGACTGAAGCATGTGTTGGCTTTCTCTGCAGCATGGCGTATAAGGCGATGACCCTAGAAGTACCAAGTTATGAGATTGAATCCTGGATGCTCCCTAAGTTGTGTTTACAGTAGAATGTAAGTATGAAGCCATAGCACTAAAAATTTCATGATGTTGGAGGCCTTTATTTGTTGGACATTTCTCCTATTTTACAATTTACGTATTGTTGTTTAATAAATACCTCAATCTTCTTATGGTTTGGGAAGCTAGCAAGGTCTTCTGAGACAGAGTGGAGAATCGTTATGATAGAGTCCAGCCGTTGGTCTGTACTATTCTGCTAGTCATTTTGGATGGGTCACCAGCCAGGTACATAACTGTGTCATCCTTGAGCAAGCATCACATTTCAGAAAGTAGACTTTGGATCAACATCTCTCCTATCCACAATGTCCACTTACAATAATACTAATCCTGAAGTATATACTTATCTAGTGTTATTGGGAGTATTCTGCAAAAAAAGAAAAAGCTCCTCAGGAGGCCTGACATTCCTAAATATTTGGCCACATCCTCTCAGCTAAAGGAGGCGGTGTCCTGATACCGAGCACGGGTGTCCTAACATCACGTGCAGGTACCTATACAGGTGAACCGAATATGTGACCACACTGCAAATACCACAACAATCTTTGTAAATAATAGTTTTAATAGATATAGCAAACCACATAAACACAGGCAATCCCACCACCACCTGCAAGAAACAAATAAGAGCCACGCTATATACAAACGGCAAGTGCCGGGAGCCACAGATGGGGAGAACTCAAGGGTAAGGGTCAGGGTCCAAGGCAGAAAACAGGATACTGGGAGGGTCAGGGTCCAAGGCAGAAACAGGATACTGGAGCGTCAGGGTCCAAGGCAGAAAAAGGATACTGGAGGGTCAGGAGTCAGGGTCCAAGGCAGAAAAAGGATACTGGAGGGTCAGGGTCCAAGGCAGAAACAGGATACTGGAGGGTCAGGGTCCAAGGCAGAAACAGGATACTGGAGGGTCAGGGTCCAAGGCAGAAACAGGAAATGGCAACAATACTGTGGCACAGGCCTCACAGCAGGGAGAGGTTAAATACCCTCCCAGAGCAGCACTAGGTGGCGACTAATTGCTGGCAGACTCCTGCAGGCGAGCACTGGAACTGCAGGATCAGGTTCCAGCTCCACAGTGCCACCTGAAGGTGCTCTGGTCCCTGACAGGAGGGCTAGGTGCTGCTATTAAGGAAAAACTGGACAAGCAGCCGGCAGTGTTGTCTGAAGGATGGGGATATCAGTTTATTTTTAAAATAATTAGTTAATATATTACAGATATAAATGTACAGCACAGTGTGCATAGCGGAGCCATGAGGAGTAAAGAACATTCAGCACTGTGAATAGATTTGTGAATGGTACTGTATGTTCTATACATCTCAATGGTCAGAGTGGAGCCCTGAGGAGAATAGAACACACAGCGCAGTAAACAGATTTGAGCAATGAGGAGTATGGAACACACAGTAAGTATATGACATACAGCACAGTGCAGAGATTTGAGCATTGAGGAGTAGAGGACATGCAGCACAGTAAAGCAATTTGAGCATGGAGGCGTATAGAACATACAGCACAGTGAAGAAATATGAACAATGAGTGTATTGGACATACAACAATGAGGAGTATAGAATATACAGCACAGTGAGCAGATTTGAGCAATGAGGAGTATAGGACATGCAGCACAGTGAGCAGATTTGAGCAATGAGGAGCATAGGACATGCAGCACAGTGAGCAGAGCAATGAGGAGCATAGGACTGAGCAGATTTGAGCAATGAGGAGTATAGGACATGCAGCACAGTGAGCAGATTTGAGCAATGAGGAGCATAGGACATGCAGCACAGTGAGCAGAGCAATGAGGAGCATAGGACATGCAGCACAGTGAGCAGAGCAATGAGGAGCATAGGACATGCAACACAGTGAGCAGATTTGAGCAATGAGGAGCATAGAATATACAGCACAGTGAGCAGATTTGAGCAATGAGAAGTATAGGACATGCAGCACAGTGGAGACCTTTGAGCAATGAAGAGAACAAAGCACAGAGCAAGGTGTACAAAAGGAACCATGTGGAGGACATACGTTATCTTCCGATGTTGGACATATTGAACATGCATCCTTTAATAGTTCAGATGTAGAAAGCAGTCAGGTACTTATGACAGATGAATCCTAGAGAACAATCAGGACCAATTCATAACCCATAGTATACAATGAGAGTCTCTTTTATGTGGGCCCATTCACACTTGTGCATTGTGAAAACGTGTTAAAATGTGGGTAAAGCAATGCACATACCATCCACCAGGGGGAGCTGTGTCATTAAAAAAAGGATCAGGCCTATTTTTTTTTCATGCTTTGTGTTCCATTGGCAGACCATTCATATTGATTGAGCTGCCCCAACACAACGCTTAAGTGTGCATTGGCTCTTAATGTTTTTGAGGTAAGCTGTGCAAGGAAACTGGATGAGGTCCCATATTGCTTTTGCCGCAGTTCTTTTCCCTGTCCTCAGTAGCAGTCGGCGTCTTGCTCCTCTCCAGCACACAAAGTGGCTCTGATGTCCTGCAGGAGGGACAGGGGGGTTTCCTGTAGATAGTCACTACTCTTTGACAGGGTACACTTCATACCATCCAAATCAATTCTTTTTAAGACGTCTGTCACCCATTTAGTGTCCAGCTCTGTGTTTCCCTTACCTGCATGAGCTGCACTATGGAGGTGTTTCAGCGTACCTTCGAGCCAGTCCCCCCTATGTAACTCTGAGGCAGCGCCTTTTCCCTCACACAGGGACGGCTTTACAGACAGCAGAATTTCACAGGCTTTCAGTGCCACCGGTCTGTCACAGTCACACAGACAGCTCAGCAGGAACTGGAAGAGGCCTACTTGTTCGCACTTTAGCATTGCGTCTTCAATGGGAAGCATCCTTTTGCTAGAAGGTAAGTCTGCAGTGTATGGGCAGCTCTGACACTCTTTTATTTCAAGTGCCTGGCTTAAGTAGTCATGTGCCAGATCCAGTGCATTCACCTTCACTTCCCAATCCAAATCACTGAGTGTTACTTCTAGCACGCGGGACACGAGCAACTCGGCGTCATAGACCTCGGTCATGTGACCTGTCCTTAGCCAGTCAGTGAAGACTTTCACCACAGCTCTCCTGGGGAATCCTTCTGTGTCCTGGCATAAAATGTCCATTAAGGTTGGCACAAGATTCTGTCAAGAAGAAAAGTACATTAATGAAGAGTTTTCAGATAAATATTAGTAAACGCATGCAGTTCATGAACAGAATATTGGAAGAGACGCATGTTCTTCAGCATAGTCATTTTATCAGAGAGTGGACTTAAGAGTAGGCAAAGAGCAGAAACTGCAGAGCGGGCGCAGAGGAGGATAGTGGAGACCAATAAAGCAGCCAGAGGGATTGGCAAGCCAATGCACCCTCTGCTAGTGGACATCACTCTGCTACTTTCTGATTTGGCGTTACACTTTCCTGCTCACTGGACAGAGTTGATGATGCCGATTCATTGTCCACTGAGGATCCTGGAGGAGAAGTAGTGATATAGTGTTAGAGCATTATGCCTCAGTGCTCTCGCCTAGTGATGGCTTGCTAGACCCAAGCACTGTCACATGGGAGGAGGCTGTTACCCTGTGTTAGAGCATTGTATCTCAGTGCTCTCGCCTAATGATGGCTTGCTAGGCCCAAGCACTGTCACATGGGAGGAGGCTGTTACCCTGTGTTAGAGCATTGTATCTCAGTTCTCTCGTCTAGGGATGGCTTGCTAGGCCCAAGCACTGTCACATGGGAGGAGGCTGTTACCCTGTGTTAGAGCATTGTATCTCAGAGCTCTCGCCTAGTGATGGCTTGTTAGGCCCAAGCACGGTCACATGGGAGGAGGCCACATGCTCCCCCATACCTTTGCCTTTTATATCTTAAATATACATGCAGACCAAGCAGTATTGCAAAAGTAACAATGAAAGGGGTTGGTGTAAACATTAACACTTGACAAGTTGCAACAATTTATTTTAAAGCTAAAGTGTAGCGGAAATATATAATAGCGTCGCTTGTTCCCTCAACCCCCGCCCTCCATTTTGAGACCCAGTAATGTCATCCCTGGGAGTTAGTGCTGTTCTTTGGTGGGAGGGGCCAGCAGGCTCCTGTAATCATCACAGCATTCTGCCGCAGATCTTTTTCATAAGAATTATATGGCAGAACACAGGATCCCTACTTCTCCCTGCTGGACACTGGGTGCTGCAGACTTCAGCTGTGCAGTCTGATTGGTTGACTGGCTGCAGGCACATCTAAAAGGGATGCCAGGGATGTGTTCTTTCACATAAAGCTCAGGAACAAAATGACTGATGGCAGAGAAAGCTAATAGCTGTGAGAAGGGGGACAACGGCTGTACGGATCAGGGGGAGAAGTGACTGATGAAAGTCGTTCAGGTAGGAAATGGACTCGACAGCTGCTGCATTTGCATAGAATCATGTCATGGAGATGCAAGTTTACAGGGAATTGAAAGTAATCAGTTTAAAAACAAAAGAAACAAGGGGGGGGGGGGACAAGGCTGGAAGTAGCTTTAAATCACATTTAAAAAAGGTGACTGTTGTGAGCACCATAGACAGTGATACACTTTGTTCCACCCCTTGTTACTTTTTTCTAAATGGTCTGATCTCTGATATTAATAAAGGACACTTGATGTTTTCTATCAGTAGTTTTACAAGTCTGCATTAATGTATTTCTCAAATTAGATTTTTACAAACAGCTAGAAGCCTTACACGTAACTTAGTATAGATGCCGGTAAACCCGAACTATTTTTGTTTGGACAGTGCAGGGAAGGATTCGAGTCTCCATCCGATATTGTGTCCATGTTGGGAGGATTTTCATATTTCATCCTGTTCTCACAACTGTCACCTGGACAGGAAATGAGAGGAAACCTCAATGAGTTAAAGTCCATATACCTTGCTGCACTCCTTACTGGCTATCCCAGAGATAATGGTTGCTTGTAATGACTGCAGATCCAAAACATAGTAACAATTTCAAAATGTCCCCAGCACAGAGATTCACATCAGTGCAAATCCATTCTTTTGATAGAAGTCATAAAGAAAAGCGCTGATCTCTTTGGTCAGTCATCCTTTGAGTCTTATTTGTTCAGATACACCTTCCTGTGAGCTCATTATTCAACGATCTGTTCAAGCATTTTTGAATTGTGACAGGTTGATATTTTGAATTGCAAAATGGCGGGAACATGACGTCATTGTCACGTCAGGCGGTTATTTTCTTCATTTATGTATGTCTATATAATGGTTGTGGTTCTTCCATACAATGTCAATATTGACCCTGATGAAGGGGACCCTGCGCAGCCCCGAAAGCGCTTGTCTTTATGACATCAATAAAATGGATTTGCACCGACATAAATCTCTGTGCTGGAGACATTTTGCAATTGAAATCTCAATGAGGACGCAGACAGCAATAAATAACTGACAGAGGTTCTACCATTTCCCTACCTACTTTTTGCTGTCTGTATACCCATTGTGGACATTTTCATTTACTTCCTTTTCTGCTTGACACCTTCAGATCAAATGGGAACACAAACAGCAATAAACAAAATGTAACAGATGCGTGGTCCGTTCCAAGTGATGTTTCATCTGGAGTTCGGCTTTAAAGTAGAACTATAGCCTAATTAAAAGGTGCACCTTCACTTACTGATTTCCCTTAATCCACCTGTTAATCCCACATAAAACTGTTGATTCTGCCCCGAGGGGGCCCAGGATGACACCGGAAATGTACATATACAAGCTCAGCCTGATAGCAAGTTGTTATCACAGCTTTCATGTTGTAGGCTTAGTGCAGTAATATATAGTGTTGGGGGGTTTTAAGTAATTTTCAGGCCTAAAATGTGGAATATAACATGGGTGCAAAAAATGAAAAAAAGGCCTCAGTCATGAAGGGGTTAAATAACTCTCATGGTAAAAATAAAGTCCAGCGTTTGTAGACGCTTACCTCTCTGTTCAAAGCTTCCATGGGCAAGATACTGCTGGAGGCGGATGTGGGGTTAATGTAAGCAATATTGGCAATCCGTCCCATGCAGGTCACGGCACTTGCTCGAACGTAACTCTCTGGGTCCTTGAGAAGGTCCACAGCCAGTTGCAGAAGTCCAGATGAACTCAGAACTTGAAGAAATTCTCCATGCTCTACAAAGCAAATAGCAACACAATTCACAGAATCTTATAAGAAAGCTATGAAGTTACCAAAAACCATGCTGGAAATTTTCTATATCACAGATTGCATTTCTTACCTTTCTGGTGCCTTTGCTGTACCCTGAAAGTTGCCAGATTTTTAACAAGACACTTACAGGGCTTTCACAAGACACTGCATCCACAGTGCAATGTGGTTGACTCCAGAGAACAAATGGGAGACATTTATACAGGGGGTGTCTATGCTTGATTGCTATGGGTTGAATTTGTACCAGTTTCAAATGAGTAACCTGGTATGGCTAGTAGTAATTAAATCACATTCAACGTATGCTTGTTCTAAAATGCTGAAGGTATTTCATAGCTTCTCCAAGCCACTAATTCAGTTCCTTACTGGCTTGGAGAAGCTATAAAACATTTTCACCATTACAAAACAAGTCCAGTTGAATTTGACTTACTACTAGCTATAATATGACTTGGATAAATGAGAACTTTCATAGACATTACCCCAATATGCACGGATGGCATTTTATTCACAATTAACATTGTAAGTAATTACAATATTATGTAATTACTTACGATATCAATTTTGAATGTGCATAAAATGCACTATGCAATCACACTCTTGAGCAAGCTGTCTTTATGTTGATTGTGGTAGAGAAAAGTAAATGGTCTGGCTCTGTCTAGTGTCTGGATTGGCTGAACAGATTTATTTCTTTTTTTTGGGCAGGTAGGACAGTTGACAAATATGCATTTTGGTTGTGTTTAGCTGTTGCGTACATGTTAAACTAACCCTTGAATAGTGACACTGTATGCATACGATCCGTTAATCCTTTAATAATGATCAGAAGGTGAGTGATGAATTCCAGAGTACTATCTCGAGCTTCCCAATGCGGGCTGCATAACCTTTTCATCAGCACGGGGTAAAGACCTAAAAT